TCAGTTTCGCAGCGCTTTCCAAAAAGCTGTACTTGCCAAGCGTGTGTATCCTGTTTTTCTCAGCTAGTGTTTTGTACACGTCAGTTAGGTGAGGCGGAGTGGTGGTGGGACTCGGGCTCTCTGTGTACTTACTGCTTCCCTTCTTCCTGGTTGTTCTGTCAACGATTGTGAGAGGATATGTGAAGCCACCACACGCGACTCTGGATTCATCTGTTTCTTCTTTAGCCAGGTCACTACCCATCTCGCATATTCCGACACCTTCTTCTGCACGCAGCTGTGGAGGATGACCATCTGCACAAACTGACCTCTCATCGATGTGCGATGTCCCTTTTCTTTCTTATCAGTTCCTTTTTCTTTCTTTCTTTTTTTAACTTCATGTATTTAGTACAGAATCTCACTATGCAGTTCGGGCTCGTTGTGATCCTCCTGTTTCAGCAGTGAGAGTGCAGGCGAGCGCCTCCACACCTGGCTGGTGGTGCGCTCTGCACGCCCAGGGCAGGGCCAGCATGGCATTGGTACCAGGGACGGAACCCAGGTCCTTGCGCTTGCAAAGGCAAGTGCTTAGACCACTGAGCTCTCTCCGCGGCCCATAATTACCTCTTTCTTAAGTCAGTTTGTTTAATATTAATTTAGCCTCTCTAGATTTCTTTTGCTTAGTGTGGTTTCTGAATGACTTTGGATTATTTTATCCACCTTTTCCATATTAGGTTGTGATGATGTGAGCCCTTTTAAAGTGCTCTCAAGAAGGCTGCGTTTTGTTTGCTTTTGTCAGCAGGTGATCGGTGATCGGCCAACGGCTTCAGACTGAAAACTCCATCTCGCTTTGTCAGTAGCTTATAAAATCGTTCATTTTACAAAAGCTTTGTACTCTGTCCTTCACACGTACTTTTCAATGGCCAATTTGAGAATTGGCCAGGAATTATGTAAAACTTTATCTTTCGGTTCTTGCCACATTGTTTGAGTACTGTCTAAGAATGTTACGTAATCCTAACTGTCCTGCTTGAGGTTGATTTGGACTTGTAGTATTTCATGTGTGGAGTGAGGAGCTCTAGCTTACTCATTTCTGAGATATACACACGCACACACACACACGCACGCACATGCACACACACACACACACACACATGCACACACACACACACACACACACACACACACATGCACACTTTTCCCAATCTTGGATTTCCTTTCCTAGATCTTTGGCTAAAATGGTAACCGTTTCTCCTGGAATTTTTGCCTTCTAATTGTTTCACAGTGTATGGAATTGGGACTGTTCTTAGAACAATGAGGTAAAAACAAAGTTTAAAAAAATCACAAAGATTCCCTTCCCCTCATGTTCTTTCAACCACAAGGGCCTCTGTCTGGTTCTTCAGACTAGGGAGGGAAATGAAATTTTCGTGAGGTTTTATGTTCCTAGGTGGCCACTTCCACCACACTGCCACTCTTTAACTGTAGGAACCCATAGCGCAGCACCCAGGGGGAGAAAAACATAAGCTAAACAAAATGAGAATCCTCCACACGCTGTAGCTTGCAAAAGTTTTTATTTCTGGGTAGTCTTGGTAGAAAGGTTGAGTTTCTCTAAGATTTTGCTTGTTCAATTCATGGCTCTGTACCGGGCTTGTATCCTGCTAGCTGGGATAGGAAGCCAGCAGCGTACAAGCCCAGTACCCTGAAGTTTTTTTCCTCCTTGAGTTAGAGGTGGAAAATAAAAGAGGTAGAGAGAAATGCTGAGTTCATCCCTTGAGAGTGGTTCTTCGGGTTTTACTCCCTTCCTCATCTGCCTATTAAGTTTTCCGGGTCCTGAGATAGCTATGTTTTGGAATGTATGCAGACTTTTCCATTGTACTTAGTGGGAAAAAGAGTTTGTGCTGGGCCTGCTGCATGTTGGCTAGGGCACAAAGACTCCCCAGCCGTCACTTTACTTATTACACTGCCCTTGGCTGATTTTTTAATTCCATTTTCCCCAATCATAGATCTAGCAAAAACATGATGGAAATCATTCACAACCAAATATTGGCCTGTAAAATCTTTCTTAAAATGATCCATTGTAGCAGAGCAACCATTTCCAAAGGCAAGGCTCCTAACGAGTGGGCATAGACTGCCAAGCCATTAATCAAAATACACAACGCTAAAGCAGTCAGCCTTCTGTGTGCATGCTATTGTTTGTGTAATTTCATTATACTTCTGGCAATGCATACTTGCTAATTATGTTTCTATTTTGATTTTTAAAAATCTCTTTTATGTTAGCAACACGCAAAATCAAACATGAAATTCTCCCAGAAAAATATCAGTAGACTGGGTTTGCTTCTTCAGTACTGAAGACAGTTTCATTTCTCATAAAACACATGTCTTAGGTTCTTTCTTTATATTTGGTAAAATGCAATAGTCCCTCAAACTTTCACACATTTTAGTGACCCAGAGACAGCACACACCCTGCCTGATATATGCACGGAGTGCACCAAGTCCTCATTGCCTTTGCCCTCAATTTGTGTGTTGCTTTTGGCTCCAGAATCCTTAGTTGGAGTCCATGTGCATGCTTTTCCTATACTATACAAATCAAAGAAGCCACTGTACATAAACGGACTCTTCTCACCTTACCAACCACTCCTTCCGAGACAAACTCCATTCCCACCCTGCATTTTCCATACTTGTCATATTATCATCAGCTGCTTTGGTATCCCCAAAGAATACTAACTCCTGATCGATAGCCAGACATGTCTGGCCATGGCCTACACGTGCCCTGGGTAGTTCATTTATTTGCCTTGGTGGATTTGCTAGAGTGGAATTTAATCAATAGCTAATTCATTAATTCTGGTGAGGGAGGACATAGAGCCCAAGCTAGACAGAGGCAGCTGGTGGCCCCAGCTCTGATTGAAATATGACAGCCACTTCAGCAGACAGCTTCATGGGGACTGAGCTGTCTATGAAGTTTACTTATTTATTCCCCATAAAAGGAAAAGCTGAGAAAAGAACATAAACACAGGCGACATTTCATTATGTTACGCTGCTCTGGCAAAGCACATGGCTTCCAGGATTAATGCTCCAAGCAAAGCACAGAGAGGGCACTTGGATCAGAACTTGGACCGCAACTTGCCTTGGATCAGAACCGCGGCAGCATTTTCAGCTCACACCAGTGTGGGACTAGGCTGTTGAAATGGAGCCTGAGTAGATCTTTGCAGTGCTCACAAATCACCGTCTTAAAAATGACTCCATGTTCTCAGTGACACCAGTGATAGTTTATACCCCAACTTTTAGAAAATCTTTATAACAGCAGCCTAGCCTCAGTAGCTCTCAAAGCAGGTTAAGCGGCTGTCGTCATGTACGAATCCCCCTTTACCTTCAAATCATTCACCTTAGGACAGAGCGTGGTAAAAGCGGGCAAAGCTCGTTGATGAAGAGCATCTTCCTTTGTGGCTTCACCAGATCTGAGGGGAAACTCTAGGTGCCTAGTTTTTGGTACTCTCACACTAGATGCCAGAGAATCTCTTCTGTTTTTCATGTTCTCTCCATAGCTGAGGGCTTCAGCTGAAATGCTGATTTCAGTTTTGTGAAAAGCAAATTTTTAAGTCATGTTTACCTTTACTTTCCTAAACAAAGCATTGGGCTTTAAGATACTGACATCAAATCAAAGTTTCCTCACTCA